ATTATCCGGCGTAACGTGCATGTTAATCAGACGAGGCTACGTCGGGTGCCAGCACCGGTGGCATAATTCGCTCAATTTACAAGCATTATCGCGCTCGTTGCATTTAATCGCTGAAAATTAGGTTACGCCAGCGAGCTGACGTGACCGCGCTGCCGGCTTTTGCCGTATTAAAACCTTTTTTTACACTTTTAAAGGCAGCACTCGTAAAAGAAAATAAAACCAGTGATTTAAAAAGCGCTGTAAAAGCGTTTTTAGTTTAGGAGACAGTTGTGATGCTTGTAATTGTGATGCTTCTGTTTTAACACGATAAAAATATACTTTGCCTGATATTTCCATTTATAGCGTGATTAATGGTGGATTAAACGAGTGAGATTTCAAAGCAGTCCTTTGTTAACATCTCTAAATATCGTTATGATCGTCGGCAACACGCAACACGAAGTAGGCATCTACCTCTATGAAATTTATGTATGGAAATATTCGTATGTGCATAACGCATGTGGAATATCGCATCCAGCAGCTGGAGGCCCTCCGTGACGACACTTCGTAGGAAAATAAATTCTAGCCTAGCGCGAAGTCGCCGAGCCAGAGATGCGCGTGCTTCAGCGACTTTTTTTCCTTCGCCGCTCTTTCCCGGCATATCTTACCGCCTCTCGCCACATTCCGAAGACGTCGTCATCGCAAATCCAGCATTCTCGACGAAAAGCCCGCAGACATGATAAAGAGAAGCGATGAAGCTTTATTCGCACTCGCACATGGAAACGGTATACCGTATTTCTAATCGCAATGATACCTTTTTGGCTAGCAATATACTGAGAAATTCGGTATTAAAAATAAATTAATATGTAATAAAAAAATATGTATGAAATATATAGCATCTACTAATCGCGCGCAAGATCGACACAGTATGTGCCTTGTTAATACTTATTGTAATTGCATTGTATTTTTAAAATATTAAGTTATAAAAAAATTTTTATAAATATAAAAAACTGCTCGAATTTTTTGTTCACTGAATATTATAACTCATTACGTTTGAAAAGTTACGTTTGAGAATCATATTATTCACAAAAATTTCTTCCTCGTATTATAATATTATAATGTCTTGCATTTTAATGTTGAATATTAATTTGTGAAAATCTTTACATATTTTCCAATTGTTTTACAATTAAAAAATTACATTTCTGATTTCAACATTTTTGTTTAAAACAAATTTTCTCTAAATTGCCAAAAAAACATCTGATAAAAATAGAAGAGACCAATCTGGAACTCATATAAATAGGATAAACAGTAGTTTTTCTATTCTTATAAATTTCTTTCGCTCGATTCTGCAAGGGAGAGACGCTCCACTCGAGATAAAAATGCAAAGGCGAGGAATTATGTAACTGGAAGGGACCAGTAGCAGTCAAGGGCTGCTAAGGTTCTGTTTTCCACGCATTCATCCGCTCTGTCGAATTGGAATCCGAGATTCGCATACGCGTCCGTCCGACGGCCCATACGCCTCGCCGATACTTTCATTCAGATGATTGATGCTCGCCGTCATTCGGCAGACGCGACGACATAAATCAAAAGACACCCTTATACACGCACGAACCCTTTTCTCTTCTCGCCTTTTTCCTTCCTTCCATCCCGCCATCCGCTCTCTTTCTCTCTCTCTCTCTCTCTCTCTCTCTCTCTCTCTTTCTCGTTCTCGTGTAAGGCGCCGCCAGGCGTTATCAAATCGGCCGACAACAGAGAGGAAGAGGGGATTAAATACCGAACGAGAGACGGGCTTCGATTGTTGGGGTATGGTGCGAGGGTGGTATGAGTTGACGAGGGTGCCGGAGAGGAGTTGTATTACCGTATAACCCGCCTGGAAGCATGTAGGGTTTGGGATCCGCCTTGTATGCCCTTCCGTAATACGTCCCGCGATAGTCATTGTCGACATATTATCCGATTACAGGCGGAAAAAGAGCGCGATGTCCGTTAATATTCTAACGTAATAACGGTAAAAGTAATTAATTTCCTTGCAGCTACGTAAATAGAAGAAACGTTTGACTTCTTTCATTCAAGTCAAGTATTAAACTATATTTATTTTACTTATATATAAATGTATATTGTAATAATTGTTTTTATGTAAAAATATAAACTATTCCTATAAAAACATTTAAATAAAGTAAAGGTTTAAATTTAGTAAAAGTTTCCTCTATTTAACATGAAAAATTTATTTTACTTTGTTATGCATGAAAACCAGATGCAATATGCGCATTAATTTTACTATTTTATGTATATGTGTTTAAAAAGAACGCAAACTTCAAACGACTAATTAATGATGTTCTATTTTTAAAAGCGAAAATTGTATATCTCTTCTTCCCGGAAAGTTGTCTTTCTTGTAAGACCAATTATTCGCGTACACTTATTTAACATCTTGATATACAAGTAGTAATTTTATCAATGATAAATGTGCTCGAAAGAATGCGGAACTTGCGGAAATGCGGATGTCGACACTTTGTAAAATTATTAATTATTCTCATTAAACAGTATGCGCTTGACATGTGTGACACAAGTGGCTGAACAGACACAGTACTACTCATTGTGTGCTTTCCAGCTAGTGACACAAAAGTACACAAAAGTATTATACTTCCTGTTGCTCATTGGATATCAAACAAAGACAGAACGATACTTCCGCAACTTGTGTTCCTTGCTGGAAAGCGTCATTATCAATGCTCAGTAAATAGATCATCATTTTACGATACGGTATAAATACTACTGCTGCATCATAGAGCAAGTACAGTACAACTGCAAAATTGCAATATGAAGTTAACAGTAGTGTGCCTAATCGTGCTAGTCGTGGTTGCCGCCTTGGTTCAGGAATCTGTAAGTTTTAACTTCATTGCTTATTCATAAATTCTTCGATAATAACAATATATTCTGTGCAAAGGAACAATTCTGGTTTAAAAATCCCTGTAGAAGATACGGTTGCAGATGTAGAACGACTACTACAACAACATCATCAACAACAGCATCGGGTAGAAGAAAACGCGAAATTATGGATGCTCCATTTTTACCAGCATTTGAATAACGTGTAAAAGATGAAAAAGACCAATTGCTGCGTATAGAGATAATGTTAAAATGTTAAAACACAAAATGTTTCACAAGCACACCACTTGTAGTTCCACTGCACTGAAAAGATAAATTGACACCTGGAATTCCTGAAAAAGGTAGTCTGTAATAAAGAAATGTTTAAAATGCATATATATGGTCAATAATATTATTTTCCAACTTTTCAAACAAAATTAGTTATAATATTCAATGATCGGACGACCAAAAAAATTCGGACGATTTTTTAACATATTTATAAGAATTCTCTTATGGGCGTAATAGTTTAATATAACGCATGAGACACATTATGTTCAAGTTCGATTAGTTAACTTTATACGTATTTTTAGTTTGTCTTTAATATTAAAATCAAGTTTTTCTTCGATATATTTGCTAGCCAAAAAAAGTATTATTGCAATTAGTGTGATATACCATTTCCATATGTGAGAGCGAATAGAATTTTATCGCTTCTCTCTCTTTACATATTCAATATACATTTATACAGGGTGTCCAACCGTATCAATAGTTAATGGTAAATTTCTGAAGTCATTTGGAGACGAAAATCTTAATACCAAAATGTCGAAGCTACAATAGTTTTTAAATGGAAAGGGTTTAAAGTTGACTAATCAGCTTGTTAAAACTTTGCACGCTCAGGAACATCGCATATTGAAAGTGCTCTTAGATATCACTTTAATTGATCGACATTGATATAATTTATGTATTATTATTGAAATTACTTTATAAACTTATCTTCTTTATACGTGGTTAATAATTGTGACAAATATCATGATAACAATAACTTAAAAATTGTTTAGAATTGACGTTAGAACGCAATGCGCATCGAACTGTCAAAGTTCTCACGTGAAGCGTGTCATAGATAAATAACATTTTTCATATGGTAAGAATATAAAAATCAATATGCGACGTGCCTGAGGACGTAAAGTTTTGACAAGCTGATTGGTCAACTTTAAATTCTTTCCATTTAAATACTATTGTAGCTTCAACATTTTGGTATTAAGATTTTTATCTCCAAATGATCTTAGAAATCTGCTATTAATGGATGATACGATAGATATGGAATTACCCTCTATATATGTAAAATAAAAATAAATATTTAGAATAATACTGTCAAATTCTCCCCCCCCCCCTTTCTCGATCATCTTGATCTTAACATATGTTATCAAAACTATAGTCCTGAGTAATATTCTAAAAGTCTTAGTCGTCACTCATTGTTTATTAAAAAGATATTAACCAAAGAAATTTGCAAAATAGAACATATTTTTCGAGTACCATGTATGTACATTTTAGTATGTACATAGAATGTACATAGAATTATTTATTCAAACATAGTAAATATAAACATATAAACATATAAATATCTTGCGAAAATGTTCTGAACAACGAGAGTCTTACACTTGAGTCATCAATAAATAATAATGGTATGGAATTCGTTAATGGATATAAGCACTATTTTGAAAAATATCATATAGACGCCAGAAATTTGCAAAAAAAATTATACACTTTATAGTACTTCTATAACATAACATAAGTAAGAAGAAAACATTTGTCACAAACAGTTGTGACAAGAGTATAACGACCGTTCTTCGAAATTCCTAGGCGGGAAAAATAAAAGGAATATTTATTTGAATCGTCAATTTGGATTATTAATAACTTTTTAATAAACAGAGAGCGACGACTAAAATCTTTAGAACATGTATAGCAAAGACCATTTTTCCCGGAAAGTTGTTTTTCTTGTAAGACCAATTGTTCGCGCACTTGTTTAATATCTTTGTACACAAGTAGTACTTTTATAACAATGATAGATGTGCTCGAAAGAATGCGGAAAATGACGTCATTTTGTGAAATTGTTAATGATTCTCATTAAACAATATCAACGTGTGCTACGCAAATAGTGAAACAGATGCGATACCATGCATTGTCAATGCTCAACAAATAGATCGTCATTCTACGGTACGGTATAAATACCACTGCTGCATTGTAGAGCAAGTACAGTAACTGCAAGATTGCAATATGAAGTTAACAGTAGTGTGCCTAATCGTGCTAATCGTGGTTGCCGCCTTGGTTCAGCAATCTGTAAGTTTTAACTTGAACTTGATTGCTTATTCATAAATTCTCCGATAATAACAATATATTCTGTGCAAAGGAACAATTCTTGTCTAGAAAACGCGGTAGAAGATGCAGATATAAAACGACTACAACAGCAACAACATCAATAACAGCAGCAACGGGTAGAAGAAAACGCGAAATTATGGATGCTCCATTTTTACCAGCATTTGAATAACGTGTAAAAGATGAAAAAGACCAATTGCTGCGTATAGAGATAATGTTAAAATGTTAAAACACAAAATGCTTCACAAGCACACCACTTGTAGTTCCACTGCACTGAAAAGATAAATTGACACCTAGAATTCCTAGAAAAAGGTAGTTTGTAATAAAGAAATGTTTAAAATGCAAATATATGGTCAATAAGATTATTTTCCAACTTTTCAAACAAAATTAATTATAATATTCAATGATCAAAAAAGTTTGGACGACTTTTTAATATATTTATAAGAATTCTTTTATGGGCGTAATAGTTTAATATAACGCATGAGACACATACTATGTTCAGCTCGATTAGTTAATTTCATACATATTTTTAGTTTATCTTTAATATTAAAATCAATTTTTTCTCGATATATTTGCTAGCCAAAAATAGTATTATTGTAATTAGTATACCATTCGTTTTTTCCGGAAAGTTGTATTTTTTGTAAGACCAATTGTTCTCGTACACTTGTTTAATATCTTTAGTAATTTTATATCAATGATAGATGTGCTCTTAAGAATGTGGAAGATGACGTTATTTTGTGAAATCATTAATTATTCTCATTAAACAACATCGACGTGTGCTACGCAAATAGTGAAACAAATGCGGTACCATGCATTGTCAATGCTGAACAAATAGATCGTCATTCCACGGTATGGTATAAATACCACTGCTGCATTGTAGAGCAAGTACAGTAACTGCAAGATTGCAATATGAAGTTAACAGTAGTGTGCCTAATCTTGCTAGTCGTGATTGTCGCCTTGGTTCAGGCGGAAATTCAGGTGAAAGGTCAGGTGGAAAATCAGGTGGAAAATCAGATGGAACGTCAGAAGAGACACATTGTAAGTTTTAACTTGAACCTAATTGCTTATTTGTAAATTCTTCGATAATAACGATATATTATCCTGCGTAAAAAATCATTATTCCAGTGTAATCGTACAATGCGTAGAAATAGACGTAGAGGTAGAAGAAGAAGAAGAAGAACAACAACAACAACAACAACAACAGCAGCAGCAGTACCGGATAGAAGAAAACGCGAAATTATGGATGCTCCATTTTTACCAGCATTTGAATAACGTGTAAAAGATGAAAAAGACCAATTGCTGCGTATAGAGATAATGTTAAAATGTTAAAACACAAAATGCTTCACAAGCACACCACTTGTAGTTCCACTGCACTGAAAAGATAAATTAACACCTGGAATTCCTGGAAAAAGTAGTCTGTAATAAAGAAATGTTTAAAATGCATATATATGGTCAATAATATTATTTTCCAACTTTTCAAACAAAATTAGTTATAATATTCAATGATCGGACGACCAAAAAAGTTTAGACGATTTTTTAACATATTTATAAGAATCTTCTCTTATGGGATAATAGTTTAATATAACGCATGAGACACATATTATGTTCAGTTCGATTAGTTAACTTCATACGTATTTTTAGTTTATCTTTAATATTAAAATCAAGTTTTTCTCGATATATTTGCTAACCAAAAAAAAGTATTATGGCAATTAGTATGGTATACCATTTCCATATGTGAGAGCGAATAGAACTTTATCACTTCTCTCTCTTTACATATTCAATATACATTTATACAGGGTGTCCAACTATATTAATAGTTAATGGTAGATTTTTGAAGTCATTTGGAGACGAAAATCTTAATACCAAAATGTCGAGGCTACAATAATTTTCAAATGGAAAGGATTTAAAGTTGACTAATCAACTTGTTAAAACTTTGCACGTTCAGGAACATCGCATATTGAAAGTGCTCTTAGATATCACTTTAATTGATCGACATTGATATAATTTATGTATTATTATTGAAATGACTTTATAAACTTATCTTCTTTATACGTGGTTAATAATTGTGACAAATATTGTGATAACAATAACTTAAAAATTGTTCAGAATATTGACGTTAGAACGCAATGCGCATCGAACTGTCAAAGTTCTCACGTGAAGCGTGTCATAGATAAATGACATTTCTCATATGGTAAGAATATAAAAATCAATATGCAACGTGCCTGAGGGCGTAAAGTTTTGACAAGCTGATTGGTCAACTTTAAATTCTTTCCATTTAAATACTATTGTAGCTTCAACATTTTGGTATTAAGATTTTCATCTCCAAATGATTTTAGAAACCTGCCATTAATGGATGATACGATAAGATATGGAATTACCCTGTATATAATATGTAAAATAAAAATAAATATTTAAAATAATACTGTCAAATTCTCCCTCCCCCCCTTTCTCGATCATCTTGATCTTAACATATGTTATCAAAACTATAGTCCTGAGTAATGTTTTAAAAGTCTTAGTCGTCACTCAATGTTTATTAAAAAGATATTAACCAAAGAAATTTGCAAAATAGGACATATTTTTCGAGTACCATGTATGTACATTTTAGTATGTATAATACATAGAATGTGTGTGTACGTAGAATTATTTATTCAAACATAATAAATATAAACATATAAATATCTTGCGAAAATGTTCTGAACAACGAGAGTCTTACACTTGAGTCATCAATAAATAATAATGGTACGGAATTCGTTAATGGATATAAGCACTATTTTGAAAAATATCATATAGACGCCAGAAATTTGCAAAAAAAATTATACACTTTATAGTACTTCTACAACATAACATAAGTAAGAAGAAAACATTTGTTACGTGACAAGAGTATAACAACCGTTCTTCGAAATTCCTAGGCGGGAAAAATAAAAGGAATATTTATTTGAATCGTCAATTTGGATTATTAATAACTTTTTAATAAACAGAGAGCGACGACTAAAATCTTTAGAACATGTATAGCAAAGACCATTTTCCCCGGAAAGTTGTTTTTCTTGTAAGACCAATTGTTCGTGCACACTTGTTTAATATCTTCGTACACAAGTTGTAATTTTATAACAATAATAGATGTGCTCGAAAGAATGCGGAAAATGACGTCATTTTGTAAAATTGTTAATTATTCTCATTAAACAATATCAGCGTGTGCTACGCAAATAGTGAAACAGATGCGGTACCATGCATTGTCAATGCTGAACAAATAGATCGTCATTTTACGGTACGGTATAAATACCACTGCTGCATTGTAGAGCAAGTAATAACTGCAAGATTGCAATATGAAGTTAACAGTGGTGTGCCTAATCGTGCTAATCGTGATTGTCGCGGTTCAGGCGGAAATTCAGGCGGGAGCTCAGACGAGATTTCAGGCGGGATTTCTAACTGGAGTTCAGGCTGTAAGTTTTAACTTAAACTTGATTGCTTATACGTAAATTCTTCGATAATAACGATTAATTATCCCGCAAAGAAATCCTACTGGTTGTTAAGAGGATATCTTGGTCATCATAGACATGATAAACCAACGCTTCCACCAGCAATACCACCAACATAAACTGAGAGTAATTCGACTAGAAGAAGACGCGAAATTATGGATGCTCCATTTTTACCAGCATTTGAATAACGTGTAAAAGATAAAAAAGACCAATTGCTGCGTATAGAAGTAATGTTAAAATGCTAAAACACAAAATGCTTCATAAGCACACAACTTATAGTCTCATTGCATTGAAAAGGTAAACTGACATCTGAAATTCCTCAAAAAAATAGTCTGCAATAAAGAAATGTTTAAAATACATATATATAGTCAATAATATTATTTTCAAACTTTCCAAACAAAATTAGTAAGATTCTCTTACGGACGTAATAGTTTAATATAACGCATGAGACACATACTATGTTAAGCTCAGTTAGTTAACTTCATACGTATTTTTAGTTTATCTTTAATATTAAAATCAAGTTTTTCTCGATATATTACTAGCCAAAAATAGTATTATTGTAATTAGTATACCATTCGTTTTTTCCGGAAAGTTATATTTTTTGTAAGACCAATTGTTCTCGTACACTTGTTTAATATCTTTAGTAATTTTATATCAATGATAGATGTGCTCTTAAGAATGCGGAAGATGACGTTATTTTGTGAAATCATTAATTATTCTCATTAAACAACATCGACGTGTGCTACGCAAATAGTGAAACAAATGCGGTACCATGCATTGTCAATGCTCAACAAATAGATCGTCATTCCACGGTACGGTATAAATGCTACTGCTGCATTATAGAGCAAGCATTGTAAGTGAAAAATTGCAACATGAAGTTAATAGTAGTGAGTTTAATCGTGCTAATCGTGGTTGCCACCTTGGTTCAGGAATCTATAAGTCTTAACTCTTGAACTTAATCGCTTATTTATAAATTCTTGAAGAACAACGATGTATTATTTTGTGCACACAAAGGAACAATTCGTTTTTCCTTTCAATGCGATGCCATACAAAGCAGAAAACGCAACAACGCAACAATACTTATCGCAACGCAACATCATCAGCTGATAGAGATAGAAGAAAACGTGAAATTATGGTTGCTTTATTTATACCGACAGTTAATTAACGTGTGAAAAAATGAAAAAGTCCAATTGCTGCGTATAGAAGTAATACTAAAATGCTAAAACACAGAATGCTTCACAAGCACATCAAACGTAGTCCTACTGCACTAAAAAGACAAACTGACACCTGAAATTCCTGAATAAAGTAGTGTGCAATAAAAAGATGTTTCATGTTTCTATATACTTAATAATATTATTCCCAAACTTTTTAGATAAAATATGTTACATATGTTACATTAAATATACGTGGTGTTCGAAAACTACATTTCATTTTATAAACATTTTTTATTAATAATTGATCAATAAACAACGAACGATGGATAAAACCTTTAGAACATTACTCAATACTCTAGTCTTGATAACATATGTAAATCAAGATAATCGAGCCTGATTGTGTTATTTTAAATATTTACCATTTTATTATTTTGTGAATATTTCAGAAAATATAATTCAAAAGTAATTGAAAAATAACTCCAAAGATAATTTTAATTTAACATAAATGACTAATGCCATTCTATTTTGAATATAAAGGCCATTTTTTCCGGAAAGTTGTATTTTTTGTAAGACTAATTATTCAAGTACATTTGTTTAAAATTTTGCACACAAGTAGTAATTTTATATCAGTGATACGTACTCAAAAGAATGTGGAACATGCCGACACTTTGTGAAATCATTTGTTACTTTTATTACGCAGTATGTGCTTGACGTGTGCTACGGAAGTAACGAAACGGTATTATTACTCATTGTCAATGCTTAAAATAAATTATCATCAACAATTTGGTATAAATGCTACTCCTGCATTGTTTGACAATCAGTGTAAGTGCAAAATTGCAATATGAAGTTAACAGTAGTGTGCCTAATCGTGTTCGTCGTGGTTGCCGCCTTGATTCAGGAATCTGTAAGTTTTAACTTGAACTTGATTGCTTATTCGTAAATTCATCGATAATAACGATATATTATCCTACGCCAAGGAACAATTGTGGTATAGAAGACGCGGATATCGTGGAAGATGTAGGACGTCTACAACTTCTACAACAGTTCCTCCATCAAGTGGTAGAAGAAGGCGCGAAATTATGGATGTTCTATTTTCACCAGAATTTAATTAATGTGTAAAAAAATGGAAAAGACCAATTGCTGCGTATAGAAGTTAAAATGCTAAAACACAGAATGTTTCACAAGCACATCACTTATAGTCCTACTGCACTAAAAAGGCAAACTAACACCTGAAATCCCCCAAAAAAGTAATATGTAATAAAGAGATGTTTAATGCTTATATATATAATATGGTACATTGATTATCTTTTCTTATCTTGAATTTCATACAAAAGTAAGCGCGATATTTTTAATACGAGTAAATATTTGATTCCGTAAACGCAATGAAAAAAATATGAATGCATCCATTAAAACTAGATTATAATGAGAAAGAGAAAGAGAGAGAGTATAATGTTCTTTTCCTTGAATAATATTAAATTGTACTATATACAATGTAAATGCAAAAATTACAGAAAAGTGGACGTTACGGCGAACGTAAAACAGATATGTCAATTTCTTCAATTTCTCGGATGAATTTAATACAGAACACAGATTAATATTAATCTTCCACATTTGAAGCTGCACAACTGATTTACTTTTTAAAAGTGCAATTTTGTTTTATTATTGAGTGGAAAAATAATGCGATAAATAACGCATATATCAATGTCACCAAATCTATCGAAAGCAACGCATATCGCGCGAAAATTCCGCCAGATTATCGTACAAATCTCTGTCGTACTTGCAATAAGAATTGGCAACATCATAAAATGGCTCATCTTGAATGTAACAATGATCCGGAAAACACGACGAAAGGGGAAAAGTAAAAAAGAACGCTTTTATCGATAAGCAATGCAATTTTGTTTCAACAACGCAGGGCTTTCACTCTGTTATGTATATATTTTTTTTATCGCTTTATAGGCTTCGTTAGGTGGGCATGCATTTTTTCGGAAATACGCCACGCAGTGTGCGCGCGGGACCTTCCGTGATCGCGCGCGCGGCTGGCACACGTGCGTGATTGGCAGAAATTCATTTCGAGCGATTTACATGTCGCGCGGAAATTGCGTGTCTGGTGAGCGTATGCCGTGAGGCCCTTTGTTTAGATGGCAACGTTTGTCATCAGTTCTCTCCGCGTAGGTGAGTTGTCGTACGGCAGCCGGTACGAGGGGCGGCACGAGAGGGTGACTCCAAGACAGCCGCCGGAATATTGGGCACAGATGCATGCAGACCATCAAGATTACTTACGACCTTCCGCGATAATACTCAAAATGCTTAAATCCGTACATCGGGTCTTTGTGCTGTCTCAACAATGGATTTCGATGTCAGCGGTTTCCTTTCCCAATAATAATTTGTACTTCCTCTGTACCAACTAAGATCAATACGCGAACCGTTCATTTATGGAAATTTCACGAAAGACTGTTTTTCAATTTTCTTTCATCATTCTACTTGCTATTATCTTTTCGTTGTTCCAACCATGTACAAAATATACACGATAGCGGTCAATCAGTTAATGGAAAATGTAACTTGGGAAAAATGATAAAGAATGCTTGATAAATTCTCAAAAAGATCTGCCACGAAGAGATGTAATCAAAAAATCAGTCGCATGGGAAAACTGAGTAAAAAAAGGTTTTAATTGAATTAAATGAGGCATTTGGCTAAAAGTATCGCGGAAACATTTTTAAGAGATGAATATTTCTCGCGTGAAACGTTTTTCCTACGTGTATGTATGTATGTATGTGTTGTGTGTGTGTGTGTGTATGTGTATGTGCGCCGGTTGCACTAGCCAGGCCACATGCATCGGGTTCGCGATGTTTGCCGATCAAACAGACTTTATAACGAGATGAACGCGTGCAGCCTGTTGACGGAAAATATTGAACGAACGTAAGCTCCCGGCATTGTCCTTGACAAAAGAGCGGCCAGTTTGTTCGCGTCCGATGAAGGAACGTATCCACCGCCGGGGCAGGACACGACCCCTCGCGTTCCTCGGATCCGACACGAAACAAGCCTATTCAGACAGTATCGAGTGCTCCTGACACCGATTCATGGAATATCAATTTAATGGCCAGAACCAACATTCGTTCGTGATTGGTTCGGAGCGAAATTTTCTCGTGGAAAAATCGACGACAAGCGAAAATAAGTCAAATGTGAGATTCTCGTTGCGAAAATCTTCATTGAATTGATTTTCATGATTATCATTTCCTATTTGAATCAATATAAAATTATAATTCGCTATCTTCCGATATATTTATAAAATTAAAAAGTATATAGTCCTTATGAAAACTTTTTGCACGATTGTTAAAAGTGTAAGAAATAATGTATTAAAGAATTTTAGTTTAACATTTATTTTACGCAGCAACTTCCACGTCAATTCTCAACACGAATTATCATCAAATCACAGCGTAAGATTCTCGCTATTCGAATATCAACGTTCATAACGTCGTTAACAAATGTCTGAATTGTTCAATACGTAACTCGTAAAAACGATTGCTGTCTAGTAGGCGCCAAATCTAGCAAACATCGAACATAATGGCGACTGTTAGAAGCGCGTGATGAACACTTGAGTTAGAAATGCAAATTAATCGACGCAGAGATCGCAAGTGATCCATTCATCTACGTCCATCCCTCTCTCACCGGTATCAAACAGTGGCCTCGTAATGGGATAGCCCCGACCACAATACACCCTTCAGCGAGGCGGAAGAGAAACAAGGAAACAGCATTACCCGGGAAACGCGTCTGTAATCCTGACCGATCCAAGAACCATCAGTATCAATGGATGTATCAGCATCATTGTCGCCATCATCGAAGTCGGACCCGGCTATCACTTCGAGTGGTTGTACAGACATTTCAACAATGAATTATATGAAAAAGAAATAAAAGCGATGCGTTAAGTAGAATTTAATGTCTGTATCTTTCATGAAAAGAAAATTTTATCAATCTCATCTCGATATCTCGCAATCTATTCTTTACGTTGTAATCGAAATTACAATCTCAATCTGCAAAATGCAAATGTATCATGTACTACCCACATAATAAATTACACGGTCCAAAACACAACACGCGCAATTGGAATACACACGATGCTATCATCGTCGACTAATGAGGTTATCAAAACGAATTGGCCTGTACGAGCGGCGCTATTTCAGCCGATAATTGGCGCGCCGTATTATCGCTAATCACCGCGGAAGTGCCTCGACACGAAAGATCGATTATTGCCGCGCGTCGATCGAGACGTTAAGCTTTCGAATCGCGTGAAAGCGAGCCGTGTAATCCGCGTGAATTTCCACGAAGCTTCGGTCAGTTGGAGAGAACGACATTCACTCCAGATCCAAGGATTTAGGCGTGCGATGCTTGATGAAGAGGCCATTGCGCTAAGTCTAACCAGCGCGCGCGGAGGATCGGCCGTTAGGCTCGGCCGCTGGTACTCCGTTAGGCGGCTTACGAGGCAGTTACCAGGCTGTTACCATGTCGATGGTGCCACTTGTCTCGAGAGGCTACCTGCTTCAGCCTCGCACGGATGAATGACACGATTTCGGCTTGGGCATTCGGTCGTATTTAACCCATCAATTCGGTCGGCTTCCAAACGATGTCCACGCACGTTGATAACGTTCCTCTACGACGCCGTTGTATTCCGCCACAAATTTTTCAAGTAAGAATCAAATTGCAAAAGTGTTATGCTAGCGATATATTTGTTCTTTTAAATTATTTTGAAATTCTATTTTTCTTTAATCTCAAGTATCCGCCTAATGGAATGATGAAATGTAATATTTCTTTCTCTTTTTCTCTCTCTTTCTCTATCTATGTCTATCTCTTACACATTCACAATACTTTCTAAATACATATTCAGCTTCATTATGCGATAATAAAAATTTGAAGATAGCATTTCCTACAAATCACAGCTATTATTATATATTAATAATAAATACGATTATATTTCATTACAGATCATCATTTGACAATCAGCGTTAGCAAGCACAGGAATCAAAGTACAGCAGTTTATATTGCCAAGCAGTTTTTCCTATCTTATTCTCGGACTGATTTTATCATCAATCAAATTATTTTGAACAATTACTTTAATGTTTACTGCATTTTAAACATATTATATTTAATGTTAATTTTGAAAATTTATAAGTTTAAAGTAATAAATAAATTGATCGATAACTCAGTAACAGTTGATAATCGAACATAAGTTTATTAATATTTTTGACTCACAAAAACATTATTAACAATCCCTTAAATTTATGACTACACTTTTTGGGACCCCTTGTATATGCTAATAACGTTTGCTGTGTATTCTGTCACATGTCACCAAAATATTTTTAAATGTTTGCGATGCAAAATGCAATAGTATTGCATAAAAATCTGACAAAATATTTGTGCAACTCTCTTTTTGGCCTGCGTCTTTATATACTGAGATATACGGATAGAAGAAAATAAAAGAAAAAAATGAAATTTTAGGTATGTTGTCGGTTCCTATTCTTCAGAATAAAATGGATTAAATCGTTCATTTAAAACTGATGCAATTAGTCTAGCAATATCGATAGAAATTGATGTCATAAAACTCCTTAAATCACAAATAATCATTTCTGTTTAAATGCGAAGCTCGAAGATTAAGAACGCGGTAGTTTACACTTTTAAGCGAGTTTTTATTCATCATCTTCAAACTCATTGTGGGGAAAATTACTTAAAACGATTTACGCGACTGTTACATATGTCACGCATATTTAGATAAGCACACAAAGAACTACAAAAAGATTTTTATATATAGGATTTACATACGTGCTATTAACAATTACTATTTTTGGAGGTGGTGTCACGTCTATCTCTTTCAATAAATGTTCTCGCAAATAATTCATTATTCGTATATTATAATATATAAATATATGAAGCCTGAAATTGACAAGTAGATGTAATCCTATATTTATTAGATAAAACATGAATTATATCGTACTTAAAAATGCAGGATGATAATTATCTACTTCTCTTCAAAAAATCATTTTCTTTATATTAGAAATAAATTATGAGTATTTTTGCATAAAATTTTACGGTTCACGAATTTAATAATTTACGATCTAGCGAAATAATATTGCCGGTTTTCATCGTCTTACAACAACCAAACAGTGTTATAATTTGTTTACGTTCTCTCTTTCTTCTTATGTTTTGGACAATGTTTGAGGACTTGAAACATGCTGTGCGATTCACATTAGTCATTTGTGCGACGTCTGAAAAGAAACATTTCCCTTATAATGTTGGTAAAATAATCCGAATTTGAAGAGATTGAAATTGTACATTATTCGCTTCACAATATATTTGTGCGGTAAGTGCTATATATGTATATATTAATTAAATACTTTCATAAATTACTAAAAACATGTGTCATTTATATCATCATTAACAAGTAGATGTACACGGGTCGCATGTTCTATGCTAACATAGCTGTGTAATAATTCAACAAAGATTCGATAAATAACAATACATTTGTAAATAAGAAGCAGAGAAGTATTAAGACGTAGAACTTTGTACTGTGTGAAATTTAAATATACTGATTTAATTTATGTCGATATAATTTTTCCTTTTATCAAAACCACTACTATACAGTATTACAGTTTGTAAGTTTCTCAACTGTTGAAACTGCGTACATCTACTTGTCAATTTCAGGCTTCATATATTTATATAATATACGAATAATGAATTATTCACTGAAAGAGATAGACGTGACACCACCTTCAAAAAGAGCAATTGCTAATAGTACGTATGTAATATTCACAATTTGACTCAATAAATATAATAATATACATAAGATTTATCATATTTTTAACGAATATTTTTTATAATAGTACTAAAAGATGGACTGAAGGAACACTTCAAAGAAGTTTCAGTCGAATGGGTGGATTGCCCTGATTTAAGAAAGAAACCCTTTAATCTAGCCGCACCAGGTAAGGAACCTATTGAAATATATGCAAGGTAACACACTTCTATAATTTCTATGCGTTAAATTCAACTTCGTCATACATTTACAGGACTATGCGGCAAACCGGCACTTATGCAAGTCGGTGGTCTCGCAAACGTGTATCCATGGCAGCAAATACACAAAACATACAATATAAAACATCTCCTAACCGAATTTGGCTACAATGAAAAAACTCTTGTCATCGGAGCAGGAATGTGTAAAAATCCGCTCACAACTCTAAACTGCGAAGTATATATTATTACAATCGCACTATATAAAATACAAGGCATTCTTTACTCTTAAGCTTACATTATGCTTGAGTCGTGCACTAAAATGTGTTTTAACTTTGTTTTTGTCTTTCAATCTATTGTTATATATTTAGTTCTTACAAAAACTATTGTTTTATAGCTCTATATGAATACTTTATATTCACCAAAAAATGGCAGAATGATATCAGTCTTTAATAGAAGTCGAACTTTATTCTACTTAAGTAAAACTTGCAGAACAGGACCATATAAAATACATAACAATTTGCACGAGTGCAGTATGTACGGCAACTTTTTTATCAGTGGAGGTAAGCCAGGACAAGTTATTAAAGTTTATGCTAAGAAGCGCATTGGTTCACTGGACTTTATATCAGCAATGCAAAGTTCTTCTTGTTATGGTCGGACTAGCAAATACATGATAGGTAAGAGACAATAGAATCTAATTAAATTAAAATATTCAATTATAAGAACGAGTCAATAAATAATACAATCAAGCATACCGCTGAATGTCAAATAAATTTTCTGTGTCTGATTTTATAGACCTTGGTGGAACATTTGTTGTGAATAACGGAAAAGTCTGGCATCACCTTATGCCACATAAGGCTGCAACAATATTACGAGATTTTCGCTCGATTCATCAATGGCTACGTTATCGTTGTATGCCCACACCTTTTACCGCTGTTGGAACGTTTAGCAACAGAATCAGACACCATCTTGGAAATGCAAGCAGTGGATTTGAAGTAAGATGCGTGATCGAGTGATTCAAAATTTGAAGATCATATAATATTCACACTATTTCTATGTTTTACAGGTTTTGAATATCACGAAGCAGCATTTCCATACATTCTCTTCAATTTACAACACAGGTGGACATTATTATATAGATGCGCTAGAAAAAGATGTGGCAACGGAATACCTAGGATATTTTTGTCCGGCCAAAAAATTCTATTGTGTGGATCCAGTAAATGTTAATATACAAATACCAGAATGTAATTTAGATCGCTTTAAGAAACGTTTGAGAAATTAGACAAATCCAGCGAATGTGGTTAAATATGTAAGCTCAATTCGAACAATCTCTTCAGCTTGTATTTTAATTCTAATGGTTAATTCTAATGGTTAAGTTACTATAGTTTTTGCATGATTATATTTAAATTTTTATATTTCTAAACTTTGACTTATTATATTATTATTACATATGTATATTCTTAAAATAATAACTTTTAAAAAAATTTTTAAATTTTGTGTAAATTAATTTTATAAAAATTAGTTATATTTCATATTAAATTTATTTATATGAAATAACTTTGATATAAAATAATGTTTTAATTTTAATTATGACATTATTATTTAATTAAAAATGTTATTATTTCATAATTATTTTATAAGTATATATAACAACATTAAAAAACTAAAATTTTTTTAGTTTTTAGTTGTATTATATTCTTCTTTATTTGCTTTTTTACATTTGATTCAATACTACTTTCTTATAACATAAAATACTTTTTATTAATGTCGTTTTTTAATAAACGAATCATATTTTTATCGATAATACTTAAATGTTCTTTATTAGAAAACTGTTTCCCCACCGAAATAAAAATTAACTATAATTGAGTTTATATGTATTATATTTTTATATTTTCTATTTTTTCCTTGTGAATAATCTACTTCATTATACGTGAGAATGTGATTTTATTAGTAATACTGCAATGTCTTTGATATATCCAGACCTCCTTGTAGTATGTTACCCTTTAATCTATTTCGATCATATCTTTTTTTCGAGATCACAAAACAATCTCTGTCGCGGTAAAACGATAGATCTTTCCGAACCGCGTCGTACGTTATCGGGGTTCTATCTCTTTCCCCTTTTGCTCTCGTCTACTTTTATCCGTGTCTCTGACTCAGTTCTTCTCTTTACCGCGAATAGTATCTCAACCAGAGACGATTTTTCGCCGGAAGAAACGAATCTAGCACCGACTGTGCGCTACCGCCTCGAATTTCCACAGTGCACAGTCGATCCGGTTCCCGCGGCGAAAATGGAAAGAGGAAACTTTATTTGTGCCTACCGAGACGTCGCCCAGATTCGAAATCTTGATGTTGAATTTCACATGCAATCGAGCATATGGTACGCTCAATTAACCTCTGATATTATCGCAAACGTAATAGTTATGATGTTACTTATGCAAAAATATATTCTAATTTTTATGAAATTTCGTGAATATCTCTTTTTCAACAAGTTTTTTTTAAATAAATTTAAATTGTGCAAGCTAAGCTAAAAGTTATTTAAAAATCGAGATAAAAACTTTCGCAATATTGTATAGTATTACTTAATTATAGCAAAAATAATAATTAACAATTACTTTAATAACACTTTAAATTCACAGTTAACAGTACGACTTTCTAATTGGGCAATATCGCATTTACAATCTCAATCGCATTTACATACGTTGTATCTCGTTTCCGATTTCAAAGATAGTAAATATGTGATTTTTTTTAAACAGCACATAAACGAGAATGTGAACGATCGGCCGTCTTTCTCGGTATTTTTGTCTCTTTCGAACTGTAACTGGAATCAGCAGATAGAGGTGGGAATGGAGCGTGCGATGAAACGCAGGCCGCGCGAAAATCGGGTTTGCGCACCGCGGCGGTACCGTTACACAATAGCGGGGATTAAACGAAACGGCCGCGCGGGGGGCAGTTTCTGTTTATCGCGTCATATAAATACGGAATTAATTAAAACTGCGAAGTTAATTGAATTTTTATAACCTTTTGCGGAGGGATGCTCTGCCTCTCGTTGTCCGCCGCCTTCGCGTCGGCCACTATCGCGGCGGGCTACGCCGCGGCTACCAGGCTAGTTACCGGTTACCTCGTCTCGCGCCCTTCTCCGCGCCGTCCTGTAAATGTAATTGCCGCACGGAAATATTGCCCTTTTGTGGAGAGAAAAAAATGCGCGCTGTGCCGCGCCAACCGGCCTTTTGCCCATCGCGTACGCCGCATTCTGATAAAACCACCCTGGGTATTTACGGCGACGATGCGCAATCTGCCCGCGAATAAACGGTCATTACATTCTTTTAACGGGGTAAGCATCTTGCAGCGCGAGCCGATAGCAGACCTTTTTCCAGTTGAGAGAAGCAACATTATCTGTATAATCTAGGGGCAATTTTTAGGAGCAAATTTTATTGTTAGAAGAATCAATAAAAAATTACGCACTGCGTTGTTTGTGAAAATAGTTATCAGAAAATATATACGTTTAAATTATTTTCCGCCAATTTAGAAAAATTCAGATCGCGCATTCATCGTAGTTCAACGTGCCTATTGCAGACACTAAAATTCACGAGAAGATATCCCTTTGACAGACCCACTCTCTTTCGCGCATCTTTCGACGCTCGCGGCTCGACAACTCGTTCGCTCGCGAACGTATCTCTGATTTCGGCGGAATGTCTTTCCCTCGGAGGTTACATGACGGAGTGAGAGCGCAGGAGGCAGGCGGATGGGGTGTGCGGAACGGCGTTTTTCCACGACGCCTCATAAGTAAACCTCATAAGTAATCTCGCCGGCGGCGCGTCTTCGATTTGAATTACCCTTCTGTTATTTCTTGCCCGTCGCCGGGCGTTATCAGAAATCCGCTCGCTCGTCGGATTAGCATGTCTGAGGTAGCGACCATCAATTTCAATATCCACTCGATAAATATTCCTTTGGATCCAGACTTCTTTCCTCTACTTACTCCGCACCGATCACACTCCTCCCCTCCAACCCTTCTCAACCCCATCCGACCGACCTCACCCCGTCCCCTACGTTCTGTTCCGCCGCCGTCTGCAGATCCGTGAGATTCGATGGAGCACCGAGACGTACGGCTCGATAGACGGTTGCAGACTGGCTTTAGATAATATCCTACCTCGGAGTCTCAACGGAGACACAGGAACTGCAACGATATTTCGCTTCGAAAGTTCTTGAATATATTTATAGAGAGGCCCGTCGCGACAGATGGAAACTGCTTGTTGGTATAATGCGCCGTATGTTCAAAGCAACATCGCTGTTTATTTGTGTCGTTGAAGCCGCGACAAACAAGTGTGAAAGTCGCGAGGGGATTGCTTTATCGGTAAAACCGTTAATGAAATCTGGAAGTTCAATTGCGCTTTTGTTTGCGTTTTATGATTTTTTTTAAGTTGAGCAGAAGATTACAAATTAAACAATCTATAATGCATGACAGAATTCGAGATAGAAACTTATAGTTTAAAATGGATTTAGCATTATACATGTAATATGAATGCAGATTTAGAAATTTTGCAACCAAATAATATGCCTATTGTAGGCACTGTAATGATTGTATTTCTTTAAGCCTTGATAAAAAAACATAAAAATTTTATTTACACGATATTCGTACATGATTCGAAATTTTGGGTGTCCTCGGATTTAAGTTTGCGCGTTGAGATCTACATGCAAAAGTAACTCTGCGGTATCATTAATGAGCAAACTGTAGCACATGGTGGAGTAGCGAGAGTAACGAGGAGGCAGGAGTGCGCAATGCAATGTAAGTAATACAGTAAATAAATACGACGTTGCGTCGGCTGCTTACCGTTCCGACCGCGGCTTTGCTGCCGCATTCGTAGTTACATTCGCTCCGATGCACGTTCGTTATGTTGCAACCTTCTCGCAAACAGTTACTAATGATATACCATGATTACTCTCAAAGATTTAATCCGCGTGCACGGTTCGTGTATACAGCGTCTTTGTCACTACTTGCTGACTTTTAATTTCGCGGAAAAGCAAAAGTACATTTTTTTCTTAGCAAAAATTGGTGCGTGTCATTTTTTTCAATGGCCTGTAATGACGCATTGCTTGATAATTATTAATTAAATATTAAGTGTAATATAAGCAGTTGTACTAAGCTACTAAAACTTCATACGCTGATTAAATTTGCACATCAGATTTTGATTTCGGCGAGATTGAATGTCTGCCATTCGCCACGTGTATCTTTTTCCTCTGTCGACTCTTCCGGCAGAGTCCTTCACTGCTAACTCGCCCACCCGTCCGGTAACTTTGCGGCCTGGCTATAAGTAATGAAGAAATGCTGAAGATTTTTACTTGCGGAAATTGCGTGGCAGGGGATAGAAGAGAGTGAAAAGAACTGTAGAAAAGAGATAAAGACGCGCTGGTCGGGTAAAAGCGGGAGAGCAAAGCGAGGAAAGGAGGGATGACTTGGGCCAGGTAATATTAATAAGTAGAAGGAAAAGTTGGTTTGATCGACTGACTCGAACGAGTCCGGCAGTAGACCACATCACAGGCCGTTTGAACGCCGGGGCTATTAGCATAATTACAACACTTCCGCTTTAGCCGATCCAACTTTCTGCTTATTTTAAACCATCATAATATCATCTACGATAGCACTGCCGAGTCCATTACTTTGATGTAACTGAAAAGCCGAATCATTGGTATGAATGTTGGCTAACGCTGAAAGCGACTCTCTGTCTAAACCGAAGGCAAATTAACAAGACAAATAATCAGTTATTTGTAAATTAAATCTTGTGAATTATTTAAACTCGATTTCGATAAACGTTTGATAAATGTCGTGGGGCGGTATTCATAGTCAGTTCTTATATTCAAGATTGTGTGTGGCGAAGAGAGCGAATGTAAGTCCGTGCTTAAGACGATCTTGAATATAAGAACGAACTATGAATACCGCCCGTAATGTTAAGAATTTCAAAGCCGACCTGCGACGTTTGGTGGGGTTGTTTTCATCGCGATGTAGAGAAAGAGCAAGCTTTCTATCCCTTCTCTCTCTCTTACACTATGTATTGGCACGCATGTTTGTCGCTCCCCACTCTTCGCATTCTTCACATTCATAATCGACACGACCTTGTCTTTCCGTTATATCCTATTGACCGCCGCAAGGTTAGTTATTATTCGCACGGCCGCGGATCGTTTCACATCAGCGCGTTGTTCCCACCATTTCTACCACCTCAATTATTTCTATATTGTTCCTACTTCTTTATCATAATTATCCTCCGAAATCACTACCGTAATAAGATAATATTATTTTTCGTAATAACCATCGATTGATGGTTTGTTCTGTTAATTAGTTTTCGCATTTAACGATTCGAATATTGTATTCTGTGGTTATTTATTCTCCGTTTTAACTTTTACATACATATATTTACATTTGCACATT